CAATCTATATTCTATCAACTACAGGGTTAGTCTTGATCAACTTAGCTTATTGTCCATCAATCAATCTATATTCTATCTGCTACAGTGTTAGTCTTGATCAACGTAGCTTATGTCCATCAATCAATCTAGAATCTATCAATTACAAAGTTAGTCTTGATCAACTTAGCTTATTGTTCATCAATCAATCTAGAAACTATCAACTACAGGGTTAGTCTTGATCAATTTAGCTTATTAGCTTACAGTACGTATTGACCATCAATAAATCCAGAATCTATCAACTACAGGGTTAGTCTTGATCAACTTAGCTTATTGTCCATCAATCAATCTATATTCTATCTATATAGAATTCTATATTATACTATCTATATAGAATTCTATATTCTATTTCTATAGATATATCTATATCTTGAAGGTTTATGTGCTTGGTGCAATTAGAAACATGTGTATGGTGCTTCTACTGTGATGTTACTCCTCATTCCTTGCCACGCTCAAGACAAACAATTGCACCAGCTCAAAAAATATTTCTAGCGCGGATTATAAGTCGAGATGCTGTCTCGACTGCCAAGTCTTAGTATTCCTGTACTGTGTAGTCTGGAGGATGGCTTTGTGGTAAGCGGTTGGCCGAACAACCGACCGTGAAAAACCGACGGAGGAAAAACCGACGGTGCAACAAATGTTCGACTCTCACTGGCAGGTCTTCTTCTCCCGGATAACGAGAGATTTGTCAATGAATAGATTCGTTGGAGGATTCAGCCCTAAGTAAAATAACCAAAATATGCATTCTAACGCAATGCAATTACACTTCTAGGAACAGGTCGATTGCTTAGTATAGTTACTTAATTTCTACGTCGTGCTATAACGTCGTATCTACGGCAGGCGTTTCCTTTAACTTTATTTTGCTTCAGAGACGTCGTCTGTTATACTCATTTACTTTACTTAGTTTTGTTTAAGACCTACTTGCTCTTTCGTGCTGAGTGTATATATAGATATAGGAATTAGGAATTATGTTGCACAACATTCTGGATCTCATGATGATTTTGTGGCAGGGCGTACGAGCAGATGGAGGTGACCTGCAACCCTAACCTGCGCGAGGCCGACAACACCTGGAACATCGAGGACAACGTCTACCCTAAACGTGAGGAAATATATTCCTTACTTCTTAGTTGTTAGTTCTTCTGACCCTATATTATGCATATATTTATTAAATTCCCATGGTCCGTGATTATTCTCTGTGAGTCCACTTTCTGTGTACCGAATATTTTTATTACGTCTACCCTAAGCGTGAGGGCCTCTAGTGCTGCCACAACCTTCACTTGTGTTGCCACCACTCGTTGCCATACACGTATTTGTGCTGTTGTTTGCTGTACTAACTATTTAGAGTTCATGTACTACATTCGTTGCTTCTTTGTTAGTTATTCTTTGTTATATTCTGATATTGTATGTATATTATATTCTCGTCTGTGATTATTCACTGCGAGTTCACTTTTTGTATAGTATACCGTTTACCATATTTTTTTAATTTCACTGTTCTCTGTGTTTTTCTGCCTAAAATGATTATTGGTATTGTGGCTGCTGTCTAATTATCGGTGAGGAAAACGATAACTAAAGACTTCACTCCAATTTTCACGAGTATTTTTTTCAGTGCCGAACAGCTCGTTCGAAATCTATGCGCCGTCGTTCCTGTCGAAGTTCCTGGAGGCCCACACGGTGATGTTCCAGGGCAACGCTGGACTCAAGCCCAAGGAGGGCGAGGTCACGTCACAACCCTGGCAGTGGCCCATCAACTACAGGGTTAGTCAGAGTATTGAGTCAGTCTCTCAGTCTGACTAGAGAGTATAGAGTCAGTCTCTCGGTCTGACTAGAGAGTATAGGGTACATCTTGCAGTCTGACTAGAGAGTGTAGAGTTTATTTTGCAGCCTGATTACAGAGTATTTAGTATGTCTCCATGCCTGATTTTTGGGTGTTTGTAACACAGGGGCTTCACCACCACGTAACTCTCTTGAGGATCGTTATTGTCGAGCTGGTTTCTGGTACGGTCAAACTTGTTTGTCACCTTTACTACTAACATTTGGGTCAGTTGAGTTGAGATAAAGCCACTTCTACCATGACTAGCTTACATCTATTCAGTGTATAGTTTTCATTCTTTGTAAACTTGCTGTCAATTAACGGCTAGTACGCAGTACATTTCTCGCTACCCATGGTCTTTGCTCGTCTGGTTCAACCATTCAACCAATGTACGAACTTAGATACCAATACCACTATTGTAGTTTTTACCGCATGAATTTATTAGCACGAGCATCTTTAGTATGGAATCTTTGGTGCTTAAATACAAGTGGTATCTACCCTCATATCTCGTAGTTCCTTATTTCCAGACGGCACCTAGTTATTTTTTATCTATAATTTAATCAGTAGCTGGTTGTAACTTATTTAAAAGTTAGTTCTAATCTTTTACTGAAAAGGTTATATCTCCTGCTGTTATTGTCACCGTTTCATATTATATACCTAAGTTCTGAATGTGAATATATTCGAAATCGTAACCTAGCATGATTACTGTTGAGCTCAACATTTCCTTGATTTCTTTTCCGCAAATGGAGTTTTTCCCTGCAGTTACCAAGTTATTTTTTTTCTCCTAAGTAATTTCTCTGCGTCTAACTTGTCCTTCGATCATACGTTGCTGCTAATAAAAGTAAAACCTTGCGTTTATTGAGAGTCGAGTTGGTGTTTATGTCACGACAGGGCCAGGCGTTCAGCAGAGATCCCGTGACGGTTTACCTGCTAAGCAACCCTGTCATTACCCTCCTTAACTTGCTGGCTCTGGCTCTGATGCTGCCAACCTGCCTAGTGAAGGCTTTTCTAGTAAAGCGAGGGCGCGCTCCTCTGTACGCATCAGGTTTGTGTGGCCACCACATTTGTTATCTGCCTCTTGTGTGTGCTTACATGCCGGCATTTCTTTTTGGGGCAATCCACGCTGGGTGGACTTGACGCAACAGGTCCACCGTGCAAACAATGATCGTTGGGCCTGAGAACTTGTGTAGTCTATTCGGCACGCTAAAAATTGTTAAGTGTTGTGTGGCTGGCAAAACTGTGTGGGTTGAGATGAGTTCTGTGTCCCCGACATTCAATATGACTTGAATTATTTACTTGCCAAACGAAAGCGTGCTGTTTGGTGCCTCCGGCAGTCCGGCTTGTTTATTATTTTCGTCCATACTTCTTTTCCACAGTTTCACAGAAAATTTTTGAGCGATTTGGTTAAGAATTTTCTTGAGAATTGTGCTTTTGTGACGTAATTGAGTTATAGACTGTTGTGATAATTGCATGATGTTGGCTCACAGTTCCTATTTCACTTGTGATGAAATTGCACTTTCTTCTCTCTTAGCTTCTGTTCAATATTAAATTCTAATATTTTCAGATATGCTCTGATTGTTCTTTTCATTTGGGATTTTCATGCGCTTTTTCTTGCACCTGATCTCACATAGTGTTATAAGATTCTTGTTTATGTGCACGAATATGTTTTGTGTGGTACAGTCTATGTGTCAAGGTTTGTTTTCATACTAGGGTGCATTGTTATGTTTTGTATGCCGACAAATAAAACTTTTTATTTTTCTTTATTTGTGAGATTTACTGAAACATTATTTAATTTTCTCACTATCCCCTTATATGAATATTCCTCCTCAGTATTATTTTGCAGCATTTTTGTCCCAGAAATTTTCACATTTATCGAGTATTTATGATTTGATCGTAATTGCTTTTGCTGCAATCTAGATTATCCCGCTTTATGATTTGGTGCGTGAAACTGTCCGTGTCTCAGTGGGTGATTTGTCTTAGTGTGCACGCTGTTGTACAGGGCCAGTGGTTCTCAGCCATCGATGGCTACAAGGTCTACTTGCTGGGTAACCCCGTCATCTGGTGGGGCAACATCGTCATCATGGCCGCCTTCATCGGCGTCTATGGCATCAACAAATTCCTCGAGAAGAGAGGAAAACTTAGTCTCAGCCAGCAGGGTATCAGTCTTCTGAAAAAATTATTATTATTGTTTGTGCATCATTCAGCCCTGAAACTGGCTCACTTTTACCAAAGCAGAAGCTTGCCATCAGAAGTTCTTATTGGAAAGCCTTTAAGCTTAAATTCAGATTGCTATGCTCTCCTAGCCGCAAACCTTATATTGAGATTTGTTTTCAATTAATATAAAATAGTTTAATATCGGCCACATAGTCCACGTAGAATATCTCTAGAATAGAATAGATCTACAGTGAGACGTTCATGAAGTATCGAAGCGGGAAAGTGAGCCCACGAAACCTCATTCTTAGTAGTTCGTTTTTCGTATTCCTGTGTTTGCTTCAAGTATTTTTTTCGATTTCAAGTGTAACGTCTTTTTTACAAGTTTTGTTTATGTTTTTCTGCCTGGTGCATATATGTTTTTTCCTTCATTGGATTTGAATTGACACGTGATTTTATATTGGAATTGCTAACCACCCATATGAACTTTGAATGCGTCATGAACGTTCAGCACTACATACAATGAAATTAGTTGCGTTGTTTTCTACTGCAATAGTACGGTGGTTTCATCTAAGCGTACGACTTTTTGTCTTTTTGGTTTTCGTAACGCTATTCTCCTCCTATGTCTATGTACTTGAAACATAAATTTCACATCGTAAGTCTTGCGCCTTCGTGCATCTTTCATACGAGTGCGCATATATGATCTGTCAGCTTATAGACTTCAGCCTTTAGCAATAACAGTCTTTGTCAGTACTACACTAAATAGATCATCATTAAATAGTATAATTATGATGGTACTGAAATTGAGTTATTGTTGACAGACCGTCGGACCGTAGCTCTGCAATCGTGTTGCTGGCTGCTGCTGGCGTGGGCCCTACACTACCTACCCTTCTACTTCATGGGGCGCATCCTTTACTACCATCACTACTTCCCGGCACTGCTCTTCTCCTCCATGCTAACTGGTAAGACTACTTCATGCATCCTCTACTACCACCACTACTTCCCAGCACTGCTTTTTTTATGAAATAACTGAATGTAACATGTTTTTCGTTGGTAATCATTGATTCATTCACGCATTTCGTATCAAACCCTTGAGGAAATCCAAATAAAAAAAATTGACTTATGTAGGAGTATTGTGAGTTATTTGGATTCTTCTACTACGCTTGTTTTTGTTATTGTGCACACCTCAAACAAAGGAACAAGCATACTTCCGCTCACAGCGGTCTTAGCCTGCTTGTACTATCGCTTCACCTCCAACTACTTCCAGCCTAATCTGTGCCGTCAGTTTCCTTTTCGAGTATTTCTGTCGATAATAACAAATTTCTATCTTACTGCTTGATTTTTTTTCTAACTCACAATCTTGAAATTTTTCTTAACGCATAATCAAGGGTAATAGATTAGGTTATATTCTTTGAATTTACTTGCAGTCAAGGGCGTAAATAAGAAGATAAGGCTAAATGGTCTTATTGCATTCAAGTCTCGTTTTCTTCGCGATCAATAAATTAAAAATAAAAAACAATTTATTTTATGACTGATGTATTTATTTTCACTTTCAGCTTCTACTTGTTCGCGCCGCTGAGCTACGGCATGCACGAGGTCAACGTGGATCGTAGCAACTCCAGCCTCCAGCACCTCCGTTGGGTCAACTCCTGGGAGTTCTAAGCCAGCGAACGTTCTTAGTTTCTAATTAAATTGATATGCTTATTTGCTTCGTATGGACGAATTTTCTTGCTCCTGTATCAGGCATGTGGTAGGGAAAATCACTGAATAGCGCTGCCACTTACATAGCATGTGCTAACATTCTACGTGAGTCAAGAGTAAAGCCGAACACATATCGTTGTTTCAGACCAAGAAAGCATCCACAATGACGCCCAATATATTATCCAGGTTTTGATGGCTCATTCAGTGTTTCTTCGTTCTCGCGACGAGATTGACGAGCGCTGCGAACAAAACGTTTTGTGTAGAAAGACTGCATCCGACCACTCCTGTCTTGCATCTGTTACATAATTCCAATAACAATTAACTATGAAGAAGGTCGAGGAATTATTGAGTCGCAATCGAGAAGATAAATCGTCGCAGTTTCATTCGTCGTTGCTGATGGATCCTCTTTGAATATATTACTTGAGCTTGACAACCATTGGCCCTTTGTCTCGAGTATTTGTCCTGGCCCAGGCAGTGCGATGTATGCTAACCATCAAGGAAATATTCTTGTGAGTCATGCCAGTAATTGACGCCATTCTGTGGAGACCCGAATGAAGATAAGATATATTCTGTTGTGTCACGAACATAGGCTGCGGCTGGAGTGCCTGGGCTCATGTTACGTTACGAGCTCATGTAGATTTCATAGAGTGATCTCTTTGTTACTTCGGACTACTGTTCTCATTTTAAGTTGGTCACTATCATAATGTATGTTGTCAATACATTCAGTAGAATACGTACTACTGCAATGAAATGTTGCTGACGTGTCTAAAATGCGTATTATTCGCCTCACTTGAGCCTCTGACGTCCATCTTCTTAGCACCGGAATTCATGTTCATGCATCTCCTGAATTACCCCTCTCGCTACATCTCTGTTTTTCTCAATCATTGCGTATTCTTGTTTGTATTGCCTGCACTTTTGTTGAATTGATTGACACTGCGATTTATTTATTTGTAAGGAACAGCTCTGCTGAACACTTGCACTGTAGATCTTAGTTGCAAGGGGCCCACATCGATGATGTTAGCCCACACATAATCGATCGCATCTGTCCTTGCTTGCAATTCCTGACCTATTGGCCTATCAATGCTGAGGCAATCACCGATTATTTGAAACCTTGAATCTCGATGCTCGTTTAGTTTTAATGTTTCGCGCTTCTTGTTTGTGCACTTAACTTCAAGTATGAAAAAAATTCTTTATGTATTATCATTGAATGTGATATGTATGCCCGAGTGATATGGCAGCGATTACAACTGTATTCGGGCTACGTTAGTGGCTTAATATTTATGAAACTGCCCGGGTGAAGGAGAGTGTGTGTTATTTACTCTGATGTTCTTGTTACGCAGCATTTGTGGCTGTCGGTTGACATGTGTGTTGTTCCTAGTGGTCTTCCTCTGTATAATTCAGCTGCTTACTATGACCTAAACTTTGATAATCTATTTTTTGAGAAGTTATTTATAATAAAATGTTTTCCCATAATTTGTTGGTATGTTCTTTAAACCCATTGATTGTATTTCGTCCGAATAAGGGTGTCTTGGAAAACAATTATATTTCGAATTCAACCTTTCGGCATCAGAATTGCGATTTATATTGGCCATGAACCTCAATAGAAAACTAGTGAAAAGTTATGTCAATTAAGTCTTTCACACGTGTTGCTTATGTTTTGAAAAAAAAAACTTATTGACGATTTACTGCCAATTATGACATTAATAGTGGATCTGGTTACGTGATTGGGTTGCCACCTAGGAATTATTCAAAGTGTAGCCCCAATCGCGCTCACGGGAAAAATCTGTTTTGATGGGACCGGAACAATGAAAGAATTCGTTGCGTAATCGACTAAATGAAAAGGAATTCGAGTAATCGGTTCCGTGCGACAAGTCTTGCAGAGATCAGCTTGTGCACGAAGCTACCCGAGCATTTAGTTGATTTTTCCGACATCTTCACCAGCCACGATCGAATTAGTAGACGATTATCCAATGTGATCTACTGCACATTGGTGAATATCGAGAAAGACCGTCATCGGCACATCATCGCCGGCCGGTAAGGAGTTTTCAAGTACTAAAACAATCGTTCAAGTACAGCTACCTATCCATTCGGCCATAAAAGGTGCCGTAAGCCCTCACCGGAGAGAGACTTCTTATGACATCGACTAGACTAGACGGTTACATCAGTAACTCGACTAAGAAATTCGAATTCCTATATCTAGAAGCATAGACAACAAGCCAGACCCCAGGCTACCGGTGTGTTAAGTATTTGTGAATGAATTATCGAGCGTTTATTCCATTCGAAAGTGGATTTCATTAGCCTTCATGGCATCAGGGTTGTGTCATCTAAATAAACTTCATCAATGCGTCATATTTTCGATCACCTTCAACCTATGCTACCAGTTAGCGATTAATTGAAGTGCAGGCTGAAGTAGAGGATTGATAATCAGGAAAGTTAAGCATAAAAGCTGTTTACATGTCATATATTCAATATTTACTAAAAATAAAGAAACTTACTAATGTTTTCAATGCATGGCATCCAAAACTGTAGTGGGCGTACCACTAATGATACACAAGAGCCTACCAAGTGGTACGTGAACACTTTCAGGGTCATGGTTGATTTATAGTTACGTATTTTTTACTTCGTAAAATTGTTTACTAGACTAACACTCGATAATCAGGCAAGGACTTTTAACTGTTGACACACGGCACCCACCATGCATGTCCCAGCAGTCCGCCATTAAATTAAGACAATAAACTTTACTCAGAGTGATTATTATAATTTGCTCATTTAATATGATAAAAGGTTACTGATGTTACATATTAATGGAGATATTACAGTTTACTGATGTTACATATCACAAATATCAATGTTATGTTGTGGACCGTGGTTCCTGCACGCAGTTTCCGAAATCGTAGAAAATCAGGACGTAATCGTTGAAAATCAAGACGTAATCGTTGAAAATCAAGACTTAATCGTAGAAAATCAAGACGTAATCGTTGAAAATCAAGACGTAATCGTAGAAAATCAAGACGTAATCGTTGAAAATCAAGACGTAATCGTTGAAAATCAAGAAAGCTCATCTTGGACTTGCTTCTCTGAACCGTCGTCCGATAAATTTAATTGATGCCTGATGACGCTAAGGCTACGACATCGAGCGTCTGTCACTCATACTCAAGATAATAGCACTTTAAAATCAACAAGATTTTGTTATACAGCTCAACATGAAACAATTGCTTCATTCGCTCATTACACTGGACAACAAATTTTAAGTTAATGTTCGTGCTTGAACAGAAATAATAATTTTCTTGTGCAGTTTTTCACACTAAATTTAAATATCATTTAAAATTGCTGTACCTATTACGCTATATGCTCTAGTTTTATACAGCCCACTGATGTAGCTTGTTAAATACGAGTTTTTGATATCCATCTATTATTCATAGCTTGTACTTACATGATCTGAGCAAGGTACTATGCTGATATACCATTTGGTAACATAATCAGTTGGTTCCCTCGAAATAATGGTTCACAGCGAATGGCACGGCTTGTCTGTTGACATGTTAATGGTCAGAAAGCTTTTCATTACCAGAATTAATAAAATAAGAGGATTGCAAGGATGTATTTAATCTCCAAATTCACAACCATAACACATACATTGAGCTTTCTCAATCACTGCTTGTGATAGTGCATACGTTCATACGAAACAAATTGACTGACTTTTATGACATGCTTGATTAGAATTGATGTATCCGCATTTATTGATACAAATTTAAGACAAACAGACAATAAAGTTAAAAAGAATTAAAGCCATATTAAATTAACAACTAGATTGCAGAAGAAATCAATACATTATCTGCAAAAATTTTCATTAAATGAAAGTTACATCAAGCGAAAAAAACCTCTAACAACACGTCTCGGACAAATTTGCGGCCAGACTCGCGGCCGGTCTCCAATATCAAATTGGGATTCAGCGCTCTAGAACCAGTATACTTACGCTAATTTCGTATTAGACAAAACTTCTCTGATGTCGAGTGCTATAATTACATTGCTACCTACGGTGTAAATAGGTTAGGCGATACATTTCAACTTTTGTTGAAGAAAGACAACAGCCACCATTCTGCTGCAAACTTGTGAGTTGCGCTCTTTGTGTCCATAATAACAGACTACCGCACCGCTCAAATTTAGCTGTCATTCTGTAAGTAATTTCTATCGATGAATATGGGGTTTTACGTCATATCCTGTGCCCTACTTGAATACATGCATAATATCAGAAAAAACAGGGACAGTATTTCTCATTTACAGGCTTCCAAAATATTAATGGAAGTGTTATGCACCTTCTAGCTATATACTGGGAAAAGTATACCCGTCACTGAGCACTTGAATTTTTGCGAATACATTCAAATTAGCGAGTTGTTTTGTTCACGTTGGGTGGTTATTTAGCACACAGGGTGAAATAAGTCGGCTTTAATGAAGTTATTCTTAATTCACAAATCGAACGCCTGTCTCAATTTACAGTGTTAGATCTTACGCCCACTTCGTGTTCATTCGCAGACTAAATTCTTTCTGACAAGGCCAAGACATTTATTTGATTTCACTCTAATTTATGTTGTTGAAACTCGTGCCTTTAACATCAGAAAGTTCGTCTTTCGTATATACGCGTTTTGATTTTATTATTTGTCTGGGTTTACTAAGTTCATTATATTTGGTGGAGCTTGGTTTTCAAAATCTGCAATTTGTATCCTTTGCATGTAAGAAATATAACACTCAAGTCTCGAAGTTTTGAAGGCACTCCAGTTGATTACTTGGAACAATCGATTGCCTCAAACAAATTAAAGGAGCTCTTGTTCCTTTGTTGGTATAAAGTTCGCATGCAAGAGACCCTCCAGGATATTGACTGTTGAGAAACGGTGACTTAAGCATCTAAAGTCAGCTTTCTGTTGGATTATAATGAAAGATCTTTAGTTTAATCGGTTTGGTAGAAT